GGTTCAGTTTTAGAGGGATCCATAGATTTCTCAATCTGGGGATTTTCTCCTGAGAAGGTAGAATAGAACACATGATGTCATTAATATTCCACAATAATAAATGTGCCACACAAGACTGGCCACATATGAATTCTTATGAGAAGTATTACCTGCAATACCCGGTACATGAAAATTCTGATATGCATTCTCATCCTGTGCTACAGTGTGGCACAAACTCTCAAGCTCATATTTATCGAAGGAAGATGCCAAGCCATAGGCACCTACTAGAAGCAGAAAACCCAATATTGCCAGATAGTTTTCTGTTTCAGCTATCATCTTTGCTTTCCAGTCAAATGCAAGCTTGTGTGCTTCCAGTTTGGCTTTTGGTTTAATCTCTGGTGAGAGCCTCATCAACTGTTCCAGTAGAAGAATGCAACTTTTCCTGATAACACTACGATCAAATAAAATTTCTTCATTATGAGGTTCTGGAGGATAAAATCCTTCAAGTGCTTCCAATACAAGCAATCCTGAGTCACATGACATTTTGAGAGCTCTAGAGATTTCAATGCGCAACAACTCCTGCTCATTCCAATGATTGTATAAAAAATTCTGCAAATTCTTTCCGCCCATGCTCACAAGGATGGAAGCCATAGCATCGGAATGACCTAACATGCAAGTGGAGGCCTTTCTAGAGAATGAGGTAGAGCTGAGGGTCTTGGTATCAGTGGGGACAGATGGACTAGTTGATACCACCTGTTTCAGCTGAGCCTCAGAAATGACAGATGATGATGTTACATCTGCTTTCTGCCTTGTGAGAGATTCTATACACTCTTCAAGCTGTGCAGGCGGGTATTCTGATTGAAGCTCGTGATCCATAATGCATCTGATAACAGCTCTAATGGAAGCTACACTCTGTTCAATGGCTTCATTCTGTACGCAAAATATAGGATTAAGCATTTCAAAGAAAGACTTATCCAACAGGATATTATAATAGCAGTGACAAATGTGGTAAAAGACCTTTTCTTTGACTGAGCACGTTTCTCCATTACAAACACACTCAGAAATCTGCATAACTTGTTTCAAGTAGTCCTTGAGAATAGGTATTGGTTGGAAATGGTCTGTGAGCTCAAAAGCATAAGCATATTCAACAGCTTCAAGATGATTTTGCTTGGCTATGAGGTTCTGGATGAAACCTATCATGAATATGATTTAGTTGTCAAAGTTCACTAATTACCTTTGAATAAATGGAATGACAATAATCAGCTCACATTTAATCTATCACCCGATAACATGCCATTCTACGAATATCCACAATGCAGCCATACAATAATTAACAATTCTACCAAAACATCTCAACTGTTTGAAGATGGAAAAAAATGCAATGTTAAGAAAACTCAACACCTCCGGAGGAATTGGCCACTTAAAGTCAAAGCCATTTCTCTTTCGCAGTTGCAACACAATCTACTAGTTCCTCGTCATTTTGGATCAAGCTTTAGTGACCCCAGATCAATGCTAATAGTAAAAGGAACCTAGCCACACCCCCACTATGGTAGTACACACACCAAATTTCCCTCCCTTTTCATGTTTCAGAGCAATACAAGCTGTACCAAAATAGTAAACATCCACAAAGGAACACAATGCGTTCCTTGGTTACCCCATGATCTCATACTCAGATACGTACCAAGGGATTGTTTGATCAAACTGAAAATTAAGGTCAGCCATCTTTTCTTCAGACTAGTAACCAAAAGTATTTTCATTAATCAAAGGCTAAGCAGTAAGTCAGCGCAGGACAATGCAAAATCATCCGTTTACAATCACAATAAGTTCTGTAATGAGCTAAGAAATCTTTCATATTTTGTTCATCATATACATCCCATACATTACATCGAAGAGCTAATAAAGCAAGACATTTAAACTTCTACATATGCACAGATGTGTTCCTTCCCTCAAAGCAACTCTATTTCCTCACTCTTTATACAATCTAGCATATACAAGCTGGTATATTCTCCAAATTTTCCTCAGATCTTTCCTGATACCGCAACCATTCTAGCATCACTTTGGAATCACCCATTTGACGCAAAATTAGCATAAAAACTCTAACAAAAGTTTTGCCACAGGGCAATGTTGGATCAGGTAACAGAAGTCTTGCCACAAGGCTAAAACTTACAGAGAAATTACATTATGGAAAACAAAAAGGTCTTTTAATTTACTATACGATGTAATTATAAGACTGTATAATTAATATCCTAGCAATTACACAGCCAAGTAATTACACGTCGTTGTTCCAAAACACCCTTAAGTTTCTGGCATACCACTTATCTACATCAAAATCAAATTGATCATCAATATCCATTTGGATGAGAAGCAATCAATAGTACGGAAATTATCTTATCAAATAGTGGTAGACTAGATTCGAGCAAGAGAAGATGTAGAATGAAAGCTAGAAAAAGAATAACAAGACGAAGGCAACATCGATACTTACAAGGAATCTTCTTTGTGAAACCAAGAAGACGACACAACTCCATTGACTTGTTATGCTCAGCAACAACAGTCAGCAGGCTCATAAGCTCATCCGCATCAAAGGAAGAGACAAGACCATAAGACGCCAACAGATACAAGAAGCCCAAGATCTCGAGTTGATCCCCAGTCATTGCCCTCATTTTACCCTTCCACTCTCTCGCAAGTTTCCTTGCTCTTCTGCGCACAATAGGTTGAATCTTCGGTGATACTCTAATTAACTGCTCTAATAGAAGAATGCAGGTCTGCTTGACAACACTGCCCTCAAACTCTGTATCTCCGCTCATCAAGTGGGGAGGATAGAACCCTTCCATTGCATCAAGCACCAACTGTGCAGGGCTGCGAGACAATTGAAGGGACCTGAAAACATCATCAGACAACGAATCTAGCTTGTTTGCCTGCTCATTTAAGAATATCTGTAAAGTCTTCCCGTCCATTGTCACAACAAGTTTTATATCAGCAGAACTACTAGAGATAGCACCAACTCTTTCCACTTCTACATTGTATAAATAAATAAACTCAGTCTTCTCAGGGACATTACCAATAGTTTTCAGTTGCTTCATTTTCTCCTCAAGCACTTTAAACCGATCTTCCATGTGCTTTTCTCTTTGTTCAAGCTCTCTAAATTTCACCTCAACCTGTTTCTCTTTAAGTGCTATATCTTTCAGTTTTTTCTTGAAGAATCCTTGTTCTGTTTGGAATTTTTCCTTTTCTAATTGAAACTCACCATGAACCAAATCCAGTTTCTTCTCCCTAGAATCAAGATCTTCTGATCGCTGCCTATATGCCTCTTGAATAGAACTGAGCTCTCCCTCCCTTAATTGGAGTATTTCCTCAAAAAAATTCAAGTCCTGCTCGCAGAGTTCAAGTTTCTTCTTAATTGTATCCAGACCCTTGTCCTTGTCCTCCAGTTCCTTCTTCACTGAGTTCAGGTGGTCTTCCTTGATAGTAAGTTTCGTCTTTACAGAATCCAAAGTAGTTTCCTTCTCTCTTAGTTCCTTCTGAATGGAATCTAGGTAATGTTCCTTTTCTCTAAGTTCCTTCTTCGCGGTGTCCAAGCTCCTTACTTTTGTTTCAAGTTCCTTCTCCATCGACTGTAAAATATTTTCCTTAACTTGAAATTCTTCCATTCGTTCAGCGAATTTTCTCTCTTTCAACTGAAGGACATCTGATTCTTTGCGAATCGAACTCAGAATCTTATTCAACTTTTCCAGGAACTCCTCAAACTCCTTGGCCTTCATACTAATCTCCGTAAAACTAGACTTGCAAAAATTCTCCAACTGCTTGTGCTCAAATCCTATTTCCTCCAAAAGGCGTTCCCCAATCTTCTCTTGCTCAATCAGCTTCTCCTCTCTCAATTTCACAGCTTCATCGAATCCCTTTTTGGCAAAAATGAAGTCTTGCCACTTGCATTCCAAATCCCTGATTTCTCTTTCTTGGAATGCACAAAACTCCGCTTCTTTTGTCTCAACTTCTTTCCGTCTCTGCTCTAAAGATTCCCTGATCAAGTCAAGTTCCTTAGAGCTCTCAGCCACCGATTCTTGTACTGAAGTCAAGTACTTCTCCCTGACCTCAAGTTCATTGAAGCATTCTTGCAAGCACTTGGTGGTCAAATCAGACTCCTCCTCAAAAGTTTTCCATTCCAGCATAAACATTAGCATTAATTTCCTTAAACCCTTCTTCATTACCTCATTCTGTTGCATACCTTGTGATATCTTCTCCATAAATAAGCCTTTTTTATTTGCTCACACAATATTCATAAGCTAAGAGCAAGGAGAATGAGACAAACCAGGATTCATTAAACCCATCAACTTTTTCTTAAACCTATACTGTGAGTTCAATCTTTGAGGTTATTAATATTGAACCTATTATATTTATAAAGTTATGGGTTCAGACACAGTATATGCCGCAATTTTAGTGAATTTTTATACTAAATTTATATTCCGCGTCAAAAGTACCGCGCACGTGAAATAAAAAAGGGAAATACAATATAAGAAAAAATCAAGAGTGAATACCCCGCCTCCAGAAAAACCTGCATTTCTGAGAAGCAGCCTCAATCTTGATGGAGAGAACCCTAATATACTCTAAATGACCGAACTTGACTGAAGGGTTACTGTCTATTTTGAGGTTAAGAAACACTGGTTGTTTTGCAGGGTTTTTCCAGTTTTCTTCAAAATTCTGGAGGTTAAAATAATTCTTCACTTTCCTACTTTTTAAATGGGGGAAAATTACAAAAGTGGTTTCTTATTTAAGGATAGGTTCAAAATAGTACCTTAAGTATGATTTAATTAGTTTTTATCCCTTAAGTTTTCCATTATTTAACACTTTTGGTCTTCGTAAAAAGTGAAACCGACTCCGTCTGTTATATTTGATGGAAAGTATATAAAAAGGGAGATTTAGCGGAAATTCACATTTAGATATTATAATTTTCTGTAGATTCTGCTATTTTTGGTATATTTTAATTTGATGAAAACTATAAAAATAAATTTAGCGGGAACTCACATTTCGAGGTACAATATTTTGTAGTTTTTACTATTTTTAATGTATTTCTAGAGTTTGGTGCAGCTTTTTTGAGGTGTAATTCTACCATGTTGATATATTTTCTGTGTCTAGTTCTTGTTTCCCCCGTAATTGCAGGTGATTTTGCGAATGACTCAAGCTTCATTAATGTAGTTAATGTTTCTTTAATGACAGTAATCAATCGCAGACAAATTTTCTTTTGAACTTAACTTTGCGCACAAGATGAGAACTGCAGAAAAATAACAAGGGTCAGTCAGTTTTCGAATTAGTAATTGAAAAATAGACAGTGTTTGCATAGTCGATGAAAAATAGTTATTGTTTTGTTGAAATACAGAAAGTTCCAGCATATTATGTTATATTATGGAGCTCCTGCATATAAATTTTCAGCATATTATGTTGGAACTCCAGCACATAGAAAGTTCCAGTATAATATGCTGGATTATGGAGCTCCTGCATGTAAACTTTCAGCATATTATATTGGAACTCCAACACATTATGAAATTCCAGCACATTATGCGGGAATCTCATACGTAAAAAAAATTCAAACTCCAGCATATTATGCTGGATTTTTTTGGATTTTTAAGGGTATTTTTGTTCGGATTTTATCTTTACATTAAAAAATGGCTGAATTTCGATTGCTTTTGAAACTATGACTATGTTTTAATTACCAATTGTAAGTTTGGTTATATCTGATTTTCCCTCTATTTTGCAACATAAGGCTGGACCAAACTCAACTTTGTAGTTCAATTTTTCTTACATACTTGTAAAGTATGAACTATATGAAACATTGATAAACTCTCTCCTATAGGGCTATTTACTTTTACTGGTGTTACATTTTATTTACACCAGCTAAAGTATTTAGTTGAATGGATTAAAATGTAAAGTTTTTCCAGATGATAACTCCCCTGCACCATGATCAGATTGGTGGATCGAACATGAATGTCCGCCCATTCAATAGACTGATTTTCATCAACAAGTTGCACTAAGAGAATGTATCTCGAGTTCAACGGTTAAGGAATTGTTTGGTACATGGGATAAGAATAATAATTTTGGGATAAAATTTGAGATTAACTTTATCTCAATTAAAAAGAAATGCACTAGATCTATCAACCTCCACCCACTAAACCAAATAGGACATTCCAATGTGAAAAAAAGTTTCCATTTCACAAATTTTTCTTTTCTTCTATGTTGCTTTCCTCTAGAAGGGTCATCAATTGGATTCAGTAAAAATGGGCGCGACTGGAGGGAGGTTCTTCTTCTAAAGGCATAGGTGAATTTAGGATTTTTTAAATATGGGTACAACACTAAAAAAAATAGAAAAGAAGTATTACGTGAGAATTGATTCATGTTCATTTGGATGAATAACCTAATATATTCAATATCGAGTGCACCATTTAGTCTTTTGGAGGATAGGTGTCAACAGATAATATTAGACGAATTTTACAAAATACGTACATAAAATATCTAGTTTAACGGAGACAACATAATTTTATGTGCCCATAATTTGGTCTATAAATCCGCCCCGACTTCTGTTCGAGATACTAAAGTTGAAGCCAGGAATGCATGAAATGTGTGCGTCAGTGTGTGTAGGTATATTGGAATCTTGATTTCAGCATTATTCAGTCACATTATGGAGATACTAATGGAAAACGGTAAAAACTTGCTTGTACCGGGTGTTTACACCCGGCTTAGTTAAGTTAATCATAGGAGCAAACTAAGGTATATTAGGATTAGGGGTGTGCATTCGATTTTGACCCTTATCGATAATTACTTATCGATTATCGATTTGTACATATGCTTATCGGTATCGTTTCAATAAGGTTTCGATTTTGATTTATGGATTTTGGGGCTTATCGATTCGGTTATCGATTACACCAATAAGAAAATTTGCGGGATTCCACGGAAAGTATATCGCTATAAACACACCTAACTAATATGGACAAAAAGAAGCTAAAATAAGATGAACACCGTTTATAACATAAAAATTATATGTCAACAAACACATGCAACGAAACTAAAGTAGGGATCAAATGTATGTCACCAACACTCCAACGGTAAATATATATATCATCACAGCTAATTTTGTTTTCCATTAATTTGAACTTCATTCTCTTGAGCTTTAAATGTGATCATTCCTTAAATGTGGTAGAGGAAATAATAGGGTTAGAGACTGAGGGTAAAGGGAAAGGTATTATAGAATAAGGGTAAAAAAAAAATCTTGTTAGTATATCTTATCGGTTTATCGATAAACCGATAACCGAAGAGGACAAAATCGAAATCGAAATCGATAACTCGATAAGGAAAATTGCGAAATCGATAAAGGGATAACAAATAATCGATTCAATTTATCGATAAACCGATTCGAATGCACACCCTTTAAGAGTTTTATTTTAAATAAATAAATTTTTTCGAGAACAAATAATAGAAGTCATAAACTCAAAGTATCTAACGTCAGAAATATTAGGGTTGTTGTCGCATCTTTTAATTTGCAGCAATCTTGTATTTTTCGTTCTTTCATTTCTCCAATACAAATCAAATGATAAACTTTTGCAGCTACAACGTGGTTGGGGAGTACAAACTAAGAGCAACGGATTGGAGCATATAATATGTTTGTTTAGCTTCATCCTTCTGAAGACAAGAGGGGTTGCTCTGATGGTAAGCAACCTCCACTTCCAACCAAGAGGTTGTGAGTTTGGGTCTCCCCAAGAGCAAGGTGGGAAGTTCTTGGAGGGAAGGATGCCGGGGGTCTATTTGGAAACAGCCTCTCTACCTCAGGGTAGGGGTAAGGTGTGCGTACACACTACCCTCCCCAGACCCCACTAAGTGGGATTATACTGGGTTATTGTTGTTGTTGTTGTTTAGCTTCATCCTTCTGTTATTTGAAGGCTGCAGAATATTTCTTCCACATCTGAACTTTGTACTCTAATAAGTACGTGTGCATATTAAGAGGATTAAATTTAGATCCATATATGGTGGATGTTAGAAATGAAAATTTTGTTTCTGTAGTACAGATGAGTAGAGTCCAGTAGAGCCTATACTCTGGTTATAAGTTAAGATTAAAATATAATAATATTTACAGGAGATAAAAATACTTTTTTTGAAGTTTGTAATGGCCAATGGTCGCCTTTGGGATAGGTTGACGGTACTGTTTAGAAGAGAGAACGAGGAATAACTAGCATGATTATTAAGTATTTTGATATTATTAATTAAGATTATGTACAAAATACATGCTAGTTCACTATGGTTAAGTACTAATAGTTGTAGTAAAATAAAGTCATATGTGTCATTTGTTTACTGGCCGGGTGTAAATCCCCGGTGCGGGTAAGTTTTTACCATGAAGTAGTAGAAACTAGAGAAGTTCCTGGTTATAATTGCATTTGCATAACCATATCAAGCGCTAGCAAATCAACAAATCCCTTGTTAAATTTGACAACCTTGCAAGTCCAAAGCAATTAAAGTCTATCATCTTTTTTTTATTTAAAAAAAAAAAGATCTTATTAAATTCAGGATTCCTAAAAGACAATACTTATTTATGTATGCTAGCACAAGAAGTTAAAGCTAGTCCTCAAAAGAATTTTAATTGATTTACAATAAGCTCAAGCAAAACATAAAGAAAAGCTGTGTAGATGTCTTTATTCATAACAATTTTCCCTACATTTCTTATTTGTTTCAATTACAAGGCAATGTACTACAATAAAATCACCACGCCACCAAACCAATGCCAAGAAAATTCAAGTAAAAAATAAATCCCATTTCACAAATTTATCGAGGGGTTATTAATGTAACAGTCCAACCTATTAATATTACTAGTCTTAGGGTACGCGCGTTGCGCGTGTATCACATATTATTGCATACAAAACTTTAAGAAGCTAACACCGCTAACATTATGAAATATTCTTTATAAACTAAAAAGAAATACAAAAGATAAAAGTGCAAGAATAAAAAAATGTTGTCCTACGATTATTATTGGAATTGTCATTAAACTTGGATTAGAAGAACCTTGTCAAAGCATACTGTCATAGGCAGATCCATAAAAATTAAATTAGAACGGATTTTAATTTGCTGGGTGTAATCTAGGTTTTTACTACTTAACACAATACACTTTTAAAAATATCGATAAATAGACTATATATATAAAATTGCATATAGTTCAAATAGCTAAAAAAAGAATTATTAAAAAATAAAGACTCCTAATCCATAAATT